ACACTAGAGCTTCTCAGTATCCTCACCCCCTTTCCTGGAAGAGGCAGGCTGAATCTGGGAAACTGGAGGAGGGCCCACAGCCAGCTTCTATCGCTGCTCGGGAATATCTGGGAATGACCCTGCTTCGACAAGAAGGTCCTTTCTCAAACTCCCTTCCCTGCCCCCTTCCAAGCACTGGTCTCTTGTTCTGTGCTCCCTGCTTATGGACATTTAAGAATCATTTTGTTCTCTGAATTTAGACTCTTACAACATCAAGTGCAAAGTCCTTGTGGCCCCAGGAGAAAGCTTCTGTCTACCAAGCCAAGTCCTGTTAAGAGTCCCACCCCAACTCCCCCACGTCCAGGTCCCAGGCAATCCTTGGCAGGAGAATAGAGACAATAGCTCGGCTGCTCATGCCTCCGGTGGCCTCAGATGGAGGGAATTTCATCTTGGGGTGTGCTTGGGGAATGTAATATCTAACAGATTGAGTCTCTTTCAGTCTATTTAACACAGTTGGGGTAAAGGGGATTTTTAACTCTGAAAACAAGAAATATTTTAAAAGCATAAAAACTCTGGGAATGTGTAATGGGTGCATAGTGTCTTCATATGCCTATGCATGTACATATGTATGTGCATATATGTAAATTGGGATGTGTATGTGTGTGTGTCAGTATGTCTATATGTGTTTCTGTGTATGGTCAATTGCATGGTCTTTAGTGTCAGACCTGTGTGCAAACCATAGATTTAACCTCTATGAACCTCAGTTTTCTTCTCTGTGCAATGGGGTTAATAATGCCTATTTCATAAGATTATTGTGTGGTTTTATTGAGATCCCTAGTTCCTAGAAAATAGTTTATAAAAGGAAGTTGCTCTCAATGTTGTTGTTGTTAGTATCTTTATCATTATTTTAGAGAATAGAACTTCAAATTGAAGCCCTGGCTTGGTGGTTAGCTCTCCTAAAACAATGACAAATATATAAGGAAACTATTTCCAGCATTGGACAACAGACAGCACAGCGCTGTAATTCTCAGATGGTGTTGCTTTTACTATGGCTACATGACACATTACCCCAAAACTTAGTTAAGTAAAACAACCATTTATTATGTCCATTGATACCATGGTTCAGAGTTTCAAACAGAGCACATCAGGGCAGCTTGTCTCTGCTGCACAGCATCTGGAGATGGAATTATCTGAAGCTGTTTACTCACCTACCTGGTGGTTGATGCTGGCTGTCAGCGGGGGGCGGCCTCAGTTCTTCCCATTCGGGCCTATCCACGGTATCTCTCCATGTGGGCTAGGTTGGGCTGCCTCAAAACATGGTGGCTGGGTCTCCAAGATAAGTGTTCTGAGAAGTAGAAAGGGAGAGAGAGGGAGGGAGGGAGAGAGAGAGAGAGAGAGAAGCAAAAGAAGCTGTGCCCTCCTTATGACCTAGACTAGGAAGTTAGGTATCATCACATCTGCTGGATCAGTCACAAACCCCAGGTCAAGGGGAGGGGACTGTCCCCACAATCGGTGGGAGGAGTGCTGAAGTCACATTGTAAGAAGAGCATGGAAATGGGAAATGTCATGGTCACTTAGGGAAACACAACCATTGCAGAAGGGAACACACAAAGTATGCCCCGTGATCACTCCAGCTCTCTGCTCAAGTACAATTCCCTGACCGCAGTGCAGGCAGCTAGACCCCAGGAGAGCATAGCCGTCCTACTGAGCTCATGGACAGAGGTCAGATTTCAGAACATAGACGGAAAGAAATAATAAAAACAAACTGTGTGATCTTAACACATTGCGGACGGATCATGTTTTACAAAGTATCATACTTTAAAAAGATATTAGCGTGTAAGAACATGTAATAAATAACTTCAAAATGCAATGGGTATTTAATTTTAAAGCGTGCCTTTAACATTTATGTAAAACGTTTTTTGTACTCGTTCAATAGACACTTACCTGGCCACTGGGCAAAGCTAGCAATAAAACTACTGGTCCGCCATGTGTTAAGTCATTTCCTTCACTTCTCCAGGCTGCAGTTTCCTCCACTGGAAAATAAGGGAGTGAATTTCATTTAAATGGCTTAAATGACTTTTATGATTCTCCCTAGTGCTAACATTCTTTGGCTTTGGTGTGTGTATGTGCGTGTGTGTGCACGCATGCGTGTGCAAGGGTGTACATTTCATCTGCCTGTGTCTCCATGTCTGTGTTCCCATGTCTCTGTGTGCATCCCTGTACCCTGTGTGCATGTGTCTCCTGTGTGCACACAAAGTAATAAAATTGAGGGCTTTCTGGAATGGGCTTTGCCTGGGAGGAGACTAGACTCACTGCTTACAAAGCTGCATTATGAACAAGGCCATTGTCGCCCACTTAGCAGAACTCGGGCTGCTCAAACGCTAGTGAGTAGGAAGGGCCTCCACTACCCAGTTGCAAGGCTGAGGGTTAATGAATGACATCATCGTCCTGGCCCCACTCTCATTCTCAGCCGGGCCCTACTCTGTTCTTGGGTGACACAGACCATCCCAAGGGATCTATCTACCATGTTTTGCTCAGACCTTCCTTGGAACCACAAGGCAAGTATGTGCAGGACCGGCCTCGCCCTCGGTGGTCTACGCAGATTGGCACAGCCACTTCGGTGTGCCGTTCTTCAGGAGCTGGCGAGTTTGCTTCTCCAGGGAAACATTGGAGCTTCTATGAAGTATCCGCCCCCAGATGCAGTGTCTGCTTCTCATACCCCAGAGCCATTTATTTGACTTTGTGTGAGTCAGAAACTCAGAAGCCCGGGTGAGGAAGCCTTTCCCAAGGGCTCAGCTCGGTGACTCACGGGGACAGGGTGAATAGAAGTGCAGGAGACACTCTGGAGGGTCCCAAAGGAGCAGGAGTTAGTGGGAAAGCAGTTGTCAAGCCAGCTTGAAAACCAAGAAATTTAGTAAAAACTGCATGGTGGCCCTAGCTGGTTTGGCTCAGTGGAGAGCGTCGACCTGTGGACCGAAGGGTCCCAGGTCCGATTCCGGTCAAGGGCACGTACCTCAGTTGCAGGCTCCTCCCTATGCCAGGCCCTGGTCAGGGCGCATGCATCCTGGAGTCCGATGTTTGTCTCTGTGAAGGAACATGCTTCGGTCCTGTTCCGTACCTCTGGCTGGTCAGTGTCTGGTTTGGGGTGCGACGGAAGATGTGATCCCGGCCTCTAGTGATAGCCAAGTCCACAGCCTGAGCAGCTTCCCCCCCTCCGCTCTGCCGCTGGACCTGGTTGCAGAGGAGACAGAGGGAGCCAGTGAGAGAGAGCCCAGTTTTGCCTTTTTCTTCTTTGAGGGCTGTCTCCCCAGTGGGGACGGCAGCTTGGCTCTTGCTCCTTCGCTTTTAAAGCCTCTGAGTCACGTATTAAAATGTGAAATAAAACATCCTGGGTAGGTGTCAGAGGGTTCAGACTCACACACTGGTTCTGTCCCTCACTCAGACCTTTTACGAAGGTACTGCACTCCTCTGAGACTGACCTTCTTCATCTTCAAAATGGGAGTAACAGCCTTGGTCAGTGAGCTCAGTGGTTAGAGCATTGGCCTGTGCATCAAAGGGTGCAGGTTTTGGCCCGGGTTAGGATGTGTGTGGGAGGTGACCAATGGATGTGTCTCTCCCACATTGATGTCTCCCTCTCTCTCTCTCACCCCCTTCCACCTTTCTTCCACTCTCTAAAAGCAATGGAAATTTTAAAAATCCTTGGGTGAGGATTAACTAAAATAAAATAAAATAAAATAAAATAAAATAAAATAAGAATAAGAATAAGCCTGGTAGGTGTGGCTCAGCGGTGGAGCATCGACCCAGGAACCAGGAGGTCATGGTTCGATTCCCAGTCAAGGCACATGCGTTGGTGGTGGGCTCGACCCCCAGAAGAGGGCTTGCAGGAGGCAGCTAATTGATGGTTCTCTCTCATCATTGATGTTTATCTCTCTCCCCTCTCCCTTCCCTTACAAGGTGATTGTGAAGCTCAAAGGTGTAATCCCCTTAAAAGCTCTGAAATAGTCAAGCACTCACGGTGCTCTTGATTACCAGAAAACAGTTTTATTTATAGGACGTGCAAGGCAGAACACCAACAATCATCCCCCGAATCTTGACTTGGCTAATCATGCAAAAGATATATTAAATGATAAAACACAGTCACGTAGAGTCACTTTGAAAAGCCTAAAATGATAATGAAACATGAAATGAGCTGGAATAAATCAACATGGTAAAGCAACATGGTTTCTGTATGAACTTGCCATTTTGCAATTTTTAAATTTTTAAATGGTTTCATTTTTGCTGCTGCAATTCTTTGATATGGAGGGTGTCACAGCCACTGTGTGGACTTGAGACTGGGAGCTGGCCCCTCCTAGACTTCCAGCAATAACACTCTGTGACTATAGAAGGAAAAATAATGTTTTGTTGTTTTTTCTAAATATATTTTATTGATTTTTTACAGAGAGGAAAGGAGAGAGATAGAGAGTTAGAAACATCGATGAGAGAGAAACATCGATCAGCCGCCTCCTGCACATCTCCTACTGGGGATGTGCCCGCAACCCAGGTACATGCCCTTGACCGGAATCGAACCTGGGCCCCTTCAGTCCGCAGGCTGACGCTCTATTCACTGAGCCAAACTGGTTTTGGCAATGTTTTGTTTTTAATATATATTTTTATTGGTTTCAGAAAGGAAGGGAGAGGGAAAGAGAGAGAAACATCAATGATGAGAATCACTGATCGGCTGCCTCCTGCGTGCTCCCTACTGGGGATCGAGCCTGCAACCCAGGCATGTGCTCTTGACCAGAATCGAACCCGGAACCCTTAAGCCCACAGGCTGATGGTCTATCCACTGAGCCAAACTGGCTAAGGTGGGGAAAATAATGTTTTTAATGGGACAATTATCCCAAAGCATCTTCTTACTGGATTTTCATGATGCTCCTGTGAGAAGCATACGCAGTATTCTTACCCCCATTTTAGACTTTGGGGAACAAAGAGGTTAAGTAATCGTGTCATAGTTCACACAGAAGTAACGCTACAATAATAGACAGACCTGGAGTATATTTTAGCTCTAATCCAACTAGTTCATTTTACAGAAGAGGAAACTAAGGCCCAGAAAGGTATAGGGCCCACCCACGGACACATGACTAGCAGCAGCCCCAGGAATAAAACTCAACACACTCAGCCCAACCAACGTGGCTCAGTGGTTGAGCCTCGACCTGTGAACCTGGAGGTCATGGTTCAATTCCCTGTCAGGCATGTGCCCGGGTTGTGGACTAGATCCCCAGAGTGGGGCGTGCAGGAGGCAGCTGATCAATGATTCTCTCTCCCTCTTCCTCTCTTAAATCAATACAAATATATATATTTTTTTAAATGAGACTCAGCCCAAGACTCTTGTCCTGCCAGGCCAGTGACTCAGAGTTCCTGACTCAGCCCTGGATTCATTTTGCTAAACCTTATTGCAAGTCTTGCCCTGGCCAGAATCGCCCCTTCCCTCAGGCATCAAGTGGGCAGGGAGCCACACACCTTGTCATGACAAGTCAGGACGAATGCAGAACTAGAACCCCCAGAGCTCTGATTCCACTGAGCTCTCTGGGTTCCAGGGGGAACCATTTTTGTTTTACCCAAACATCCCAGCCACTCCCAGGGCTTTCCAGAGGTGACTCCCAGGAAAGTGGCCCCAGCCACCACCAAGAGGGTGAGGCAGGTTGGCACCAGCCTTTAAACCCAAGCAGGTGAATCACCCAGGGGCACAGCCCTATGGCTTTCTCTCCACTCAGCTCCAACCGTGGGCTCCTCGGACGGGATGGGTGGAGAACAGGGAAGAGAGAAAACCTGGTGTTTGAATTGCCAGGCAGAGAGGAGCGGGCCAGGTGCTACCTCCATGAAGCGGAGCAGGAGACCACGGGTGGAGCTCAGAGCATCCCTGAGAGGACACAGGCCCCAAGAACACTGCAGCCTGGAAGGGAAATGACTTCTCCAAGGCGGTTAGTGTCGAGCCGAGATGAAAACGAGCGCTCCACCTCTCAGTCCTGCCCCCTTTCCCAGGGTCCCTGTGCCACAGTGTTCTCTGCCCCACACCCTGCTCGGATGCAGACAGGGACGTGTCTCTCACCTTCGCAGGGAGAAACTGAGGCACAGCAGATGGGTTAGGGACAGCTCCAGGAGCAGAGGTGCCTCAATCCTGCCTCCTCACCAGGGACATAGGTCTGCCCTCCTCGACAGAACTACAGAGCACTCAGCTCTAACAGCATTCAGGAGACCCTTTCTTGTAATTAAAAACATTTTAATTAGAGGTATATTAAACATGAAGTAAGTATAAGAGAGTTCTTTGTTGTTAATCTTCACTCAAGGATATTTTCCCATTGATTTTTTTTTTAAAGAGAGAGTAGAAGGGAGCAGTAGAGACAGAGAAACATCGATGTGAGAGAGACACATCAATTGGTTGCCTCCTGCATGTGCCCCAACTGGGGCCAGGATTGAGGCCGCATCAGAGGTACAGTACCCTTGACGGGAATCGAACCTACAACCCTTCGGTCTGCAGGCCCATGCTCTATCCACTGAGCCAAACCATCTAAGGCTATAAGTCCTGATAATCTCCATAATAATACTTCAGGGCTTTTATGGAAATATAAAATGTCAAATTCTTAAGATTTCTCTCTCATTCTTTTCGTGTCTTTTGGCTGGTGTGAACACAGGCTCACTGCTTCCCGGGAATTCAGCCATGCCTGGCAACCCACAGAGTCCCAGAGACAGTCAGGAGAAAGGATTTCCCCTCCTGTGGACCCTTGGAAAATACCTCCACCCCCCTCCTGCCCTCCACCCCACCTTGCCTGCCAAAGTACCAGGCACAGGCCCAGCCAGGAAACAGGAGACGCCGCTAGTCAATTTCCCCTCCCTTCTCCCCCTCTGTCCAAGGTTTCATAGTTCCAGAGCTGGAGCCAACTCCCTGATAAGGGCTGGGTGGGTTTGGGGGAAGAGGCACAGGGTGTGCCAGCCTGTTGGCCTGTGACCCAGTCTCTCCCAGATCACTCACTCAGCAAAACTGCTTCTGCGGAGACATTCATTCCCTGGCTTCCCTTAGAAAGCCGCTCTCGCCATCCTCACCAGGGGAACGGGAAGAGGCGAGGAAGAGAGCCAGGCACCTGGCTGGGGGAGGCGATTCTGGGATGGAGCACCTGAACTGAGAGCGGAGGTGTAACTGCCTTCTTCAGGGCAGTTCCCGTCTCACAGATGGGTTGCATTCTACTAGTAAAAGTCTGTTGTTAATTTTCCCTGAAAGTTAAATAAGCTAGATAAACTGTTTATTGAGCATGAACTATACTGGGCACGATGTTGGATGCCCACCGCTTTATGTAATCCTTCTCAGAATCCTGTGGGGGTTACCCTTGTTCTCACATTGTGGCTGAGGAAATGGAGGCCCAGAGAGGTGACGTAATTTGTCCCTGGCCATCCAGCAGGGTCAGGGGTGGGAACAGAGTCTGGATTCCAAGCCCAGGGGCTATTCCATGATGCCACACTATTTTGAGCAGTAAATAGTCTTCCAGATTAAGCCACAAGAACTCCTTTAATCCATTATGCATCCCAAAATAGTGCACGTGTGCAAAGGGAAAATAAAAAACAATAGGGCTGAAATTCTAACAAATTAGTGCAGAACAATAAAACAGACTTGGGTAGTGTTCAGTTGTCTAGAATAAGGGTTCCTTGTGGAAAGTGGCTTTAATGGGAAGAGGACATGGAGTTTGCTAAGGATGGGTGTAATGAAATCCACAAAGAGGAGGCTGGATATTTGCAAAGGCTTAGGGGCTTGGGGTCCTAGCTCAGTGTCTAGTTTCATTCCCATTATGTGCCTTTTTCTTGAGGCAGCAGCTATGATTGGAGTTGATCTGAGTTAAGAAATGCAGCAAAGGCCCTGGCTGTCGTCCCGTACACAAAGAGGCTGAGGGTTTGATTCCGGGTCAGGGCACATTACTAGGGTGCAGGTGTGTTTTTTAAAATATATTTTATTGATCTTTTACAGAGAGGAAAGGAGAGGGATAGACAGTCAGAAACATCGATGAGAGAGAAACATCGATCAGCTGCCTCCTGCACACTCCCCACTGGGGATGTGCCCGCAACCAAGGTATATGCCCTTGACCGGAATTGAACCTGGGACCCTTGAGTCCGCAGGCTGATGCTCTATCCACTGAGCCAAACTGGTCAGGGCTGGGGTGCAGGTTTGATCCCTGTTAGGGCACATACGGAAGGCAACGATTGATGTTTCTCTCTCACATCTCCCTCTCTCTCTCCCCCTCTTTCTCAAAATCAATAAATAGCCCGGCTGGTGTGGCTCAATGGTTGAGCAATGACCTACGAACAAGGAGGCCACGGTTCAATTCCCGGTCAGGGCACATGCCTGGTTCCTGGGTCAGCTCTCAACTGCTGAGCCACACCAGCCAGGCATGTCTCATTCTTTAGGACTCTCACATCAAATATCAGCTCTTCAGAGGGGGCCTCCCTGACCTCCTCATGTCAAGTTTCTAAGTTGTTCTCAATCACATCACCCGGTTTCTTTTGTTTATAGCATCAAACTTTCTCCTTTATTTGTTATCTGTGCTTTTTATTGTCTGTCTCCGTCTGCAGTGTACATATAGGTTCCTTTAAGAGTGTCTTGTTGACTATTGCACCTGGCAAAGTACCTAGTACATTGTACGAATAATCAAACAAATGAATGAAAGGAAGTTGCAGGTTTCGAATTAAAAAAGTGCTTCTCTAGAGAGTTACGGTTTCATATAAACCATAGGGTTGAAGGTGAGGGCATTGTTCTTAAATATATCTGCATTTGGGAGGAGGGTAATTGTTTAGGGAGCAGGCAGAGTTAGGTGATTAATTCCCAACCCATGCTTGGCAGAGCCTGCAGGGGATCAGCTCAACTCCTGATCAATATAGAAATGTTCCTAAAGAGATGACATCTGTCAGGAGAAGAGTTGAGGCATATGGATAACATATTTATATAAAATTACAAGAGCTATTCTGCATGGAGCCCATGCTAGCTGATAGGTACTATGGTAAGTACTTTATATTTACTGTTGTGATTCATTCACACACACATGCACACAACCTGTAAAGCAGGTACTATTTGTAAATCCATGTTATAATTGAGAAACCAGTGACTTAGGGAAGTAGCTTGCTAACTGGGATTCAAACCCAGGCAGGCCTGACTCCAGAGCCCATAACCCTACTGTTCTCTGACAATGCCATGAGATACTCAGGGCAGGGACTGCACGGCCAGTGTTAGAAATAAAGAAGCTAAGGTTCAAAAATAATGAGTGACTTGCTCAAGACCGTCCGCTAGTCCTTGGTGGCCTGGGACGAAGTCCAGGTCCTGACTTTAATGCCAGGGCTCTTTCTGCTGTAGCTCATAGACCCTGTTGGGACGAGGGGTGAGACCAGGCACGATGTATGTGCCATGGACACTTGGAGATCAAGGGAGGGGAAAGGATGCCACGCCGTGGGAAAAGCTGATGCTCCTCTCTCCCCCAGGCATT